GTAGATAGAGACTTGCTTGGCTATCCCGATTGTCCTTCGGGAATCCCCCATCGAATTTGAAGCTGAAGCAAAGGCCTAATAAAAGCAGAAGGAAGAAGAAACAGGAGCCGCGAAAAATCTATGGGAAAAATCTATGGGAAAAAAGAAGAAGAAAGGTATAGAGGAATTCGTTGCTGAGGATGAAAGAAACGACTAAAACGACGAGTGAGTCAGTGAGTGAGTGAGAAAGAAAGAAAGAAAGAAAGAAAGAAAGACGAAAATAGTGATAAGGGCTTGGAAGGTAAAGGGAAGAGGAGGAGGAGGAGAAAAGAGAATAGGTGGAAGGGTCAATAGTGTACGAAGTTCAGAGAATCCGTAGCTGGCCACTTAATCTTTGCCGTGGCGATGAGAATTGAGAGAAACGAAACGAAAAGGAATAGGAAAAAAATAAAAAAAAAATAAAAAAAGGTGTGGGGGTGGGGGGAAAGAAAGAAAAGAAAAGAAAAGAAAAAATAAAGGATCCAAGAGGGGAAAATAAAGGAAAGGAAAGAAAGAAAGAAAGAGAGAGAAGGATAATAACCTAGAGAACGTGTTAAAAAGGAAAAGGGAATAAAAGGGACGACAAAAGGGTTGTTCGAGAAGCGTCGTCAGTCGTTTAAAAGACGACGTTCAAAAACCTTTAGGACGTTAGACAAATGTTCTAAGAGAAAACCGCATTGCGTTTTCTCTCGATCGTTCATACCGTTTTCGACGTTGAAAATTCAATTCCACTTGTCCTAATTTTCAAAACACGAAGACAAATTTCAATCCAATTATTATACGCGTGTTGTTTTATATAATTCGTTAGAATATTTTATTATTAATTGTTATAATTCATTAGAATATTTTATTATTAATTGTAATATATTAACATTAAATAATAATTCAGTATTTTCTCTCGTCCAAAATTATAATTTTTTGATGATGTAGGTTCACTTGGACATGAAAAGAAGTAGAACTTAATTTAATTAAGTTGGACGTTTCGTCCCTTTATTGGTACTTCTTCAGCAACTTAATCATTAAGGCTCAGCGTCTTTTTTATTTATTTCGACATACATTTCTTTTTATAATATTCCAAAACACAATACATCTAAACTTCGTTAGTTTGATCGTTATTATTTAAAAGCCTCGACAAATAAATTATTGAATAAATAAGAATGCCGAGGGGCTATTTTGACTATTTGCTAACAAATTACGATATAACAACAATGAGACATGCAAATAATTGGATTAATGATCTTAACAAATTAGCAGCAAACAAAAACAGATTAATAATAATAATATATTTTGCGTAATATAAATGTCATCTCATATTGAAATTTTAAGATAAATCTTTAACGAATTAGATAAAATTGCGTAATAAATTGCACAATCGACGATTTTCTTCGTCGATTTGAAAAACAACGACGGGGAACGATGCATAATGTACGAATCGAAAATGGTATCATTCTAGCTAGCTAGCTAGGTAGAGGGAAAACGAATAACTTATACATTCGGCATAACAAAACGAGCTTCCCCATCGAATAACCCGACAGAATTTCATTGTCACAGTTTTTCTTTGCGAACGATAGAGATATCATCCCAGGCGAATGGGGTAGGGAGGAGGGAGGGGGTGGTTTATGAAGAATTTGAATTTTCAGGAAAGAATATCTTCGATGAGATCGCAAAAAAAAAAAAAAATAAAAAAAAAAGACGAATTTACATAGCAAAAACAAACTATGTTTTTCTATTWTTTTTTTTTKTTTCTCTCTCTCTCTCTCTCTCTCTCTCTCTCTCTCTCTCTCTCTACTTTCAATTAAGAACAAAAATTATTCTCATTTAAAATTTTTTTCCGCAATCCCGATCTTCGTGGATTATTTTTCTTTCTTTTTTTTTTTTTTTTTTTTTGTTTTATTATAATATCTTTTAGTTATAATATATTACCAATCGTAAGTTATATAATAAAAACGTTTATTCGTGCATATCAAGAGAATGTTAGGATAAACTCATTACCATTTCTATTATAATATCAAAGCTACAGGTCATAAGGTGTAATGTATAATTCATCGTTGTTGATACCTCATAAACTTGTTATCATCATACCAAGGATATTAGAAAATTACTTCTATAAATTCTCTTTCGATTTCATCTCACGTTTGATAGAAATTTACAAGTTTATTATACCCATACACTTCTTAATAGGTTTATACACCTTTCTAAAGTATATAATTAATCTCTCGTTAAGAATAATTTACACGTAACATGGGGATTTTCGAATGTACAATACACTTGCATAAAAATATGATAATATAAAATAATAATATTTGATTATTGTTCTAAAACGATTAACTAAAGTTTCAAATGCACAATAATCAATATTGTTACATATAAGAAAATGATGTCTAAGGAATCGTATGATGACGAATTAAGATCGATAGATGTAACGAACAATGATCATCCGATATCCATGGGAACGCTCGTAAATCATCAATACACTCACACCAATCATCGCGTCGCACCGTCAGCTTGAAACCAACCTTGAATTATCGCTCTGGCACCATTCCACGATAATTAACAAGTAGCCATACCAAGTAATAGTGAAATCGTCATGAGAAACCATGTTAAATTGTAACACACTAAAAATATTTGTTTATCTATAATTTCAACACATTATTATTATTATTATAAATAAATTATATTTTATTTTAATCATTCCGCGTATTTGTTTGTGATAAATAATATCTAAAAATTCAAGTTTCATTGATATACAAAAAATCATAGTAACAAATATAATGAACAAAATAAATATGTAAAATTAAATAAAATTGTGCAATTTAATTCTATACTCCAGTCGATATGATTATTATTATTATTATTATTATTATTATTATTATAAAATTCAAACCAAATCCATGCAATAATTGAGATCGTATAACCAAAATGTATGTTTTCAATAATGAAATAATATATTAATAAACATTACCACAGTGTAATATTGAATTTATTACCACAGTAATAGATACTGAATTTAATTAACTATAAATTTAATAACGAAACGATGTTATTATATATAACAATCTGATTTTATCAATTGAATGCATTTAAACAATTTAAAGAAGAACCAACAAACCTAAACATTTAATGCAACGAACATATGCATGCACTTAATAATAAATATATTACAATATTATAAATACATCATTAAAATGTAATAATATTATATTAATAAGTTTTAATGATAATATTTAACATATGCAGCCATATTTATCATAGAAATCAAACTATTAAGCTGATAAACAATTGATGTTTATAAAAAAAGATGGACTTCTTTATTCGACAAGAAAAAAGAATTGTGTTACATAATTCTGATCTTTTCTAATTCGTTGTATTCACGTGATATTGTCATAGATCCTTTTTACGTATAAATGTAATTTGCATGTGTTGCATGTGTGTATAATTATGTATACGTCGAATTAATTAAAACTTTCTTAATCAAGAGCTAAAAACAGTAAATAATTAATAAATCGAATAATAAAAGAATTTCAATTTCCTATTAATAAAACATCTCTTTTGTAATTTTTAATTAAAACTTTATAAATATCACGCGCGAGCTCT